TATCCTGTGCTTTGTGAGCGTCCTCGTCGGGCCACGGACTTGGCACTTTTATGTAGTGCTTGTCGTAAAGCTTGTTATAAACAGGACATGGGTGAGGGTGAAGGTATTCCGGCAACTGTCTTACGTCTTCTCCTATACATTCATAGCCCCCGCAAACCGCACAATAAGTTGTTTTATTTGAAAAGTTAAAATTGCACACACAGTCGCAGTAACAGGGGTCTTCAGTGAGGCAAACTTTCTTTTCACTTTTGGCTCCTTGCACTATAAAATCTTTTACTGTTTCAACCACATTGCAAGATTTTACACAACAGGGGTTTTTGATTTCATCAAAGTCCATTACAACGTCGCTGTCGTCAGGACTCGGCTGTATGGTCTGACTCAGGGAATCACAGACACTTTTCGTCGTACGATTTTTATTACTCTCTTTAGTCGATGAAAATGTACAAGCACTTTTAGAGCAGGACGTTTTCTCTGTAGCTTTCATACTGGGACAGTCCGATGTACAATAGTCGAATTTTGATGATTTATTGGTACTTGTATCCGCAGGTGAAGATGAGCCACTCCTACTGTTGTCATATTTTACGAAAAAGTAATAAACGTTATATACTTGTGTCGGATTAGGTTTACCTCCAAACGGACAACCTTTTTTCTTACAAGCACCTTCGCTGTCACTCGTTGAAGAGTCATCGCTGCCGCTAGGTTTAGGTACTTTGTTCTTCGCATATGCATTTTGCATTTGCTCGATACAAGCACATTGAGTAGAAAGAGCCTCCACATTATTAATATCTTTAAATACTCCTTCTTGACGGAGGAATTGTTGAATCCTTTCAGCTAGGGTACATTCTTTGCTTCCGCAAGGTCCAATAATGTCGTCTATTTTTATTTCTTTGTTGTCTTCCTCGATAAGGTTTTCTATATAAGCTCGAACACTTCTAGCTATTTTGCAATCGTGTCGTCCGCAAGGTCCCCTTATGTTAGCTATGTCAAATGTCGCCGCTACTTTTTCAACTGGCTTCGCTTCTCTCGGACCAGGCGTTCTACAGAGAGGACATGGATCGCTTTGGACTTCTTTTTTAAATCTCGACGAAAGCTCGTTCTGCGGCCAGTTACTTTCTTTACAGTAGCACAGTCTATCAATATCTGTCGCTTTAATTCTTGGTTTTATTGTCGGACGAGGGGTCAACATTCTCATATTATCGTAACATGAGGTAATAATTTTCCGTACATATTCTATAATGAAATCTATATCGGGACAAGTTTCTGGCGCCTTATATGGGGAACTAGGTGGTTTATCTGCATGACCCATACAACAGTAATCGCCATCAGTAAAAGTATATCTTGCACTTGGTGCATTTTTGTAGTCAGCGAAAATCATATGTGGAGGACGTGGCTTATCTATAATGTAATTATTCTCCACTTTGTTGCAGTTCTCTTCGAATATCTCATCTGTCGTTTTCATTGTACAAACATACGATGTAGTCTTTGAATTCATACCTGTGTACAATACTTTCTTTATTATTGGGTCTTCGGAGAGAGTCCGAAACGCTGATGTCACCTTTTCACCTAAGTGTGTTAATTTAACTTGAATTCCAAGCTTTGCTATTAATTTAGCTGTTCCTTCTTCGAAAATATTATATTCTTCGTTTAAAGTAACGGGAGGTGCATCCTGGCATTTGTAAAGTATTTCTAAATACTGTAGAAACTGGGAATCCCATGGTATTGAAACAGATCCTATGCATGTCGTGTAATCTTCTTTATTCCATAAAGATATTTGCATGGGGCAACCTTTCATATTCTGCGTGAGAAGCTCAGGGCTGCTGGAAAACAAAACAGACTGCCCGGATTGTATGATTGGTTCGGGGGGCGGCGCCTCCACTGCTCCTTTTTTCTTCCCCTTTGGCTTTTTCTCCTTCTTTTTCTTCTTCTTCTTCCCTGGCGGCTCGGGTGGTAAGGGAAGGGGTTCTGGCATAACTATGTGCATTTGTTTAGGATCTTTCAATTCTAATGAAAATATATCGGCGAAATCACTTCTTATAACTAGTTCTGTGGAATTTGTCATATTCTTAACACTTTGCACCACAACTTCGAAAATGAACATAGCATTTGTAACAGACATTTTACTTTTTTATACTTTTTTTTTGGGATTACTTGCAAAACATTTATACGACTATTTTTTGTATATTTTCAACTTGAAAATTTAATAAGTCAAAATGACATAATACTTTTTTTTCCTTTACACGTGAATTTTTAGGCCGGTTTTACCACGCGTCATTTCTTTTCCAATTGAGATGTGTTTAGCTACTTTTTTCATCTACAATTTTGTGAGATATTATAATTATTCAGAGTTTCATGCAGTCTCTTGGTGCTGATAGTTTCGAAATTAAAAGCCACGTATAATACCCTGGCATTTAATTTGGTATATCTGGAAGAACCATAGATATCAAATCTATATTTTATGACAGTGGGAAGAACCCTTTCCTGCGTGCTGACTTAGTCCTAGATTCTCAGTATCGAATTTAAATTGTGTTTATTAAAAAGAAACTACATAAACTATAAGAAACTACATAGACTATAAGAACTACATGTAGAACAAGTAAATATAATTTAACAAGAAACTACTATTGACAAAATGTTCAATGTTTCACGGGTATTTCGAGAGAGGTAACTAGTAAACGGAATGTATAAAAACACAGAAATATATAAAATTTGATATATTTCAACAAAATAAAATCTGTTATAATAATAAAAAATCACAATTTCTTTGTACCGTAGTCAAAATTAAAACTAAATCCATTGAAAACATTGATTATTATATTTTACTAT